TTGTGTATATTAGTCAAACGTATAAAACAGAGTAACCATTTGCCATTTAGATTGCAATTTTTTTAAATGAAAAAACATTCTCAAATTTCAAGATATTTAGAATATTTTGAAGCTATGCAGTTCTAAAATAAATAGTTGTAAGTGGCATTTTACCTCAAAAACAACATTTTACCTCGGTTCTAAATAAATATTGGTTTATTTTACAAAATTGCAAAATATTATTTTTACATTCTACATCTTTGTTGGAATAAGCATATAGTACATACATAATGTACTAAAATTGGATTAAACTCAATGAAATATTATACATGTAAATGTGCGAAAGTAAGAATAGTTTTTAGATGAACAGCAAAAACTATTTTCATAATAGACAGTAGAAAATGTTATTCAAGTAGCATAATCTTATTGATTATGTATAAGTACATAAATTATTTTCACATTTCGGGATTTCGGGATTTTAACCCTTCATTGCATATTTTTTTCAATTTTTTTTTTCAAATAATTCAGGGTGATGTAATTAATGCTTTAGATTAAAGAAAAAAAAATTAAAAAAATTAAAGTAAATAAATATATGTATTATGTAAAAAACAATATGATGGAAATTTACATCTCATGCATTGTCACATATTAAGCTCAGTAGTAAATAAATAAATTGTAAAATATTGTTTACTCAATTTTCTTTATTCTTTATGATAATTAAAAAAAACAATTTGCCTTAAGGTAAAATATTAGTTGAACTACTTATTTTTTGCAGTCATAGCCTCAAAATATTCTATACATCTTTACATTTCAGAATATACTTGTTTTCAAAATTTTTAAATGGGGATTGGCCACTGTTTTCTACGCATGACGAATATACTCGTCAATACTCAAAATTCTGCTACTTCTACATGACGAGTATATTCGTCAATCACAGTAAACTGGTAAATAGACGGGATTGGACATATCATCATATACTTCCCTGATCAAGAATAAAAAATATTCTTACCTAAATTAATAAACTTTTCCAAAATGTTACGCTTTTACGAGCATTCAGAATATCAAAAATGTCGTCCATGTTAATCTGTAATTTGTAAAAAAAAACTATTTAGTCTATCTATCTATCTTCCATGCATAATTTATTCATGATAAAACCGCATAATTATTTTTCCACAATATGAAATGTGTTATCTTACAATTAGCTATATATCACTTTTTTATTTATAAAACGAAGCGAGCGAAGTATGATTAAATTGTTTATTTTAAATGCTTATTATTGACTTCCCGACGGAGAAGTTGGTTTCCGCCAGAAAATTCAATGTTTTTGTCAATTGTTCTGAAACAATCTTGAAAATTCAAGAAATGTTCGAAAGATATTAGTTGGAATTTGTGCTGATTAATTTTTTATAAACATCCTTCGTAATTAATTGTTAAAAATTTGACTATCACTTCGTAGTTCTTTTGCCTAAACTAAACGAACAGCCTAAAACGTTATAGGTCTAGTAAAAGAAGTTAAAATACAAATATTAGTAAAAAGATTGGGATAATAGATTTTGTTTTCGAAATGAACTGTTAAAATTTTTATTGTCTCAATTTGAAAAGGTATTGCCTTTAAGCAAAATGCCACTTACGCCTAGTTAAATATATACACTTTATATCAATTTCGCTATTAAGCAAAACATGATTGATCTATATTAAAGCTCTATTTTGATTTAAGTGACATCATTTTAATTTTGTAAAACATAATTTTTATATTATTATTATTTTTACATTTAACTTTCCGTAGGGTATTATAGAAATGGCAAAAAAATCAAAAATTAATTTTTTTATACATCTTTACGTTTCAAAGGTTTCTGAACATTTTGGCATACCTTAGAAAAAATGGATGTATGTGTGTGTGTGCGCTGATACAATTTTTCATCGACGATTTCCGAAACACCGATCAACCGATTTGAATAATTCAAAAAACATTCGATTCGTATTGATTAGGAGACGTGCTGATTAGTTTTTGGCAAAGGCAGGTCTAGCCGTTCCGAAGATACGGGACAAAAAGAGCCACAAAAGGCTGAACGGGTTTTAAGAGAACGGAGCGTCCGATTTTAATAATTCAAAAAACATTTTACTTGTATTGACAAGATGACTAGTAATTTGG